ATAACGACATAACATAAGTAGGCAGTAAATCTAAACAAAGTTAATCAAGATCACTCTACCCCCCAAGGATAAATACTAAGCCTTCCATCTTGATAATTTTTTTTCTGCTTTTTCCAGAATTCCATTCCATATAGCCAAAAGCTTTATGTTTGCTCCCTAGTGGCATTCCCAAGTATGTTGTTGGCAAGTTCTCTACTTTACACCCTAGAATGATTGCTAATCCTTGAATATGAGGCACCTCCTTGACTGTAATCAAGCTGTTTTTCCCCATTTGACCCTTATACATGTTACTGCTTCAAATAAGATCAAAATCAATCTGATGTAGTTTAGTTGTTTGGCTTCTGGCTCATAAAGGATGACAGTATCATTTGCATATAGCAAATGGATGATCTCCTTTCCATTCCTTGTTCTGTCTCCTATTTGGAAACCCTTGATCCACCTGTTTTTTTGTAGCTATTCTCATCATACTGTCAAAACCTTCCATTGCTGGAATAAAGAGAAAATAAGACAGTGGATCACCTTGTCGCAACCCCCTTTATGATGCAAAGAAGCCAATAGGTTCACTATTTACTAGCATTGAGAACTTGACTGTTTTAAAGCACACTTCTATCCATTTTAGCCACTCACTACCAAATACATTTGTCTAAAAACATTCAGTAAAAATGCCCAATTTACATGATCATATGCTTTCTGGATGTCTAACTTGCATAATAAACCCGCAACTCCACCTTTCACCCTTGAATCTATGCACTCACTAGCTATCAATGCAACATCCATGATCTGTCTCCCTTTAATGAAAGTCATCTGATTTTTACAATTTTCTCACCACTCAAGTAATTTAGCTATGATTTTGTAGACCCCTCCTATCATACTGATTGTCTTATAATATTTTAGTCGCTCCAACATTTTTAGGAATTAGAGGAATGAATGTTGCATTGAAACTTTTCTCAAAATTCTGATTGGAGTGGAACTGTGAAAGGGTGTTAATTATGTCCTTCAAAACCTCCCAAAAAGTCTCGAAGAAAATCATTGGGAAGCCATCCAGTCCAGGACCCTTCTCCTTAGCACACATCTTAATACTTTTTAGGATTTCTTGTTCCTCGAAAGGTCTTTGCAACCATACTTGTTCCTCTCCATTTATCATATTAACATCTTCAATGTTCAGATCAGGCCTCCAGTGTTCAGCTTCCTTGTATAAATTTATGTAGAAAATTTGGACAGCCTCCTTGATCATAGCTGGATCTTTAACAATGTTATCTTCTACATCAAGTTGTTCCATTGTATTGAACCTCTTATAAGTGGAAATTCTATGGGAAAAAATTGTATTCTTGTCTCCATAATTCAACCATTGAACCCGGAATCTTTGTTGCCATGGTGTCTCCTCTTTCTTGGATATCTCTTCAAACTCCATGCCCAGATTTGACTTCTGTAAGATTTCATCATCAGTAAGCACTATGTGTTCCTGTATTATCTCCAACCACCAAGATTCAAATTTAAAATAAGATTTTTTCCATTCCCAACCACCACATGTTAGCATAATAGGATTATGATCAGATGTTATGTTTGGTAGGACATTTTATTTGAAGTGAATGAAGTTATCCCCCTATTATGCACAATGAAGAAATCTATCAATTCTTGAAACACTCATTTGATTGTTCCCTCTTCTCCAAGTATAAGATCCTCCGAATAAATGAGGATCAATCAACTCCAACTCTTCAATACAATAGGAAAATTTGGTCATAGCACCACTAACAGTTTGTTCTCTCTGATGGGTATCTAGTAACATTAAAATCTCCTCAAACTATCCATGGTCCTACAGTTTTTCCTCACATGGCTTTCAATTCCTCCCGCAGTACCTTTTTGATCTCTCTACTACAATCAACATATGTTGCAGTTATGTGCCAACTGAACTCTTCACGTACCCCTATGAATTTTCTAATTAAGTTTTGCCCGCCAATCTCCACCAGTTCCCCCTTCCGTACCCTTTTAACCCACCAAATTGAAACCCCCCCACTGCTTTCCAGTGCCTCCTTATGAACTTCTCTCATCCATCTATTTTCCCATATCTTCTATATTAGTCCATTAACATTACCCTCCAACTTTTTCTCAACTAAAACATAAATTCTGTCTCCCACTGATGTATTAATTTCCTAACTGTGTCCCTTTTATCCCTCCCATTTAGCCATCTCACATTCCATAGAGATTATTTTCACTCTCAGTGATTGGTTAGAGCTAAAATCCTCCCACTATCTTTGAAATTCATATTAAAGAACAAATTTCCGCCTATTTTGGGACATAATTGTTAGATTTTATTGTCTTCATCTTCTCCCCTTTTCCAGTCTCATTTTCCCTCCTTTGGTCTAGCTTAGCTAACATGGTATACGCTTCCTTGTTGCATCCTTTAACATCGACACCAAATTGTTGACCTAATTTTATCATGTTCGCTTGGATCCATTGTGTGGCATGTGCAGCTAAATCTTTCTCATGTGTGCTATTGTCAACCTATAAAGGTTCTGGATCTATATATATAACCAAGAGTGAATTTGAAAAATCTATCTCCCCTTCTCCATTAATTTGAGTTGGATTGTCCTCCCTTATTGATCCCTCTTCCTCCTGAATTTTAGCATGTGGTTGTAGTTGATTGTGCTGCTCTTTCTCCCTTTTTCCATTCTTGTTACTCCTATTGCATCCAGTTCTCCCTTACCTTCGAATTCTACGAAGTTAGAACAACGACATGCTTCTAAATTTGAAATACTAATGAGCTTGACAAAAGGCTCTATGAAGAGCTTTTTTTCTCGTTCTGGGCTCAATTCTTTTTGATCTATTTTATCCTTCCGTTTATTTGATTTAAAAGGAATGGTCTTTCCACCATCTGGTCCACCACTTAAATGAACTGGAAGGGTCTTTTCTCTTTCTTCCCTAACTTTTTTTTCCAGCTATCCACTACTATTACTACTGGGACCCCCAACTCACTTCAATCTCTCTCTTGAAAAGGTCCCAACTGTGGACACATGCCTTGTGTAAGCAAAGGACACTCCTTTTTTGCATACATTGATATATGAAGTATATCTCTCTGCATCCTCTCCTCCTTTTTGGTGAATTACCCCTGTATCTCTAGATATACTAGGATTTGACCTCTCTCCTTGGTTACTGGTTTCAACAGTCACTATCTCCAGTTTTTTTTCGGTAGGTTGTTAGTTCTTCACACCATACCGGCACTGAGAAAACTAGGTTTTTTTCCTCAACTTCTATAAATGTTGGGATTTTTTCTCTAGGCCCTTTAACTCTGATTTTGGCCCATTGTAAGTAGTTTTTAAGCACCGTTTCTTCTTCATTCTCCAGCCAGCCTCCACATTTGTCTCCTATCTTTCTCATTGTTTCAGAGTTCCATAGATACAGAGGAAGTCCCAAGACCCTGATCTAATACCAGTCGAATTATGTTGTATGAAGAAAAACTCCCTTTGTTGGATTCCACCAGTCCAATTTGAGAATTTGGTTTTGTCTCTTCCATTCTCCCATCAGAATATGTTCTGCAGCTCTTCTTGAATGAAACTCAAAAAGGAAATTGAATCTATTTATGTCATACACTTGGATGTTTGATACTCCTTTCCAGATTTGAACTACCCATTTCTGACATCATTGCGTGTTGGGGCCTCTACTCCTCTGATGAATCTCCCAACCAAACATCTTTGTAGTACATCATTATCCTCCTGACCGACAAATTTTGCCACGTTCATGGGTTCTTTCTAACTTCAAGCCTTAGCTGCTCCCATTTAAGGTTTGTAATGGCTTCTTTGTAATAGCCCCCCCCCCCAAACTATAGTGTTCCACCTTGTATCCCCTTCTGTAATAAAAGTGTCATGTGTATTTGACACGTTATTAATAAAATCTTCAAAATTTTGTGGACCAGTCTCCCCCACCCCTCATTAAAATAAGTCTGTGGAAGAAAAATGATTGTTTTGTTCAGGCCCTTAATAGCTATTATTGAGATGTAGCGACCATATTTATTGAACTTTTGAGTGCAGTAAATGTAGGTTGCAATATCTCTGCATCTCCATGATTTAAATATTTTCCCCTCATTTCCTGAGGCTTCTTGCATCCTTTTGCACAGCCATAAAAGAACACCCCTGCTAATTGACACCCTCCTCAATGGGGGTCTCGATCTCTCTACCCAATCAAACCAGGTATTTGTGTCTGAGAAGGAAGCTGTGATATCAAAAGACTTTACCCCCATTCTGAAAAAAATCGATTATCCATTTCTAGAAGAAAAGGAAGAGATTAGTAGAAGTGTTCCAACAAACTACTTTATTGGTAGGAATTATTCTTACAGTATAATTTTCTAACAATCGCATCCATATTCCCATCTTAACTAAATCAATAAGGGAAAAATGATAAATATTTAAGTACTTTCTCGGTGGAATTTGTTGCACGGGACTTGCTTAGTATGTAACTTCTACTTAGTATTATATGCGTTGTTAGATTGGAACAACTTCAGATTCTAGTGTCATGAAAACGAAAAGCTTTCACAGTGGAAGTTTACAGATGAGCAAATTGATATGCAGTACTTTTTAGTTTTTCTCATGCTAAAACGTAAGAACAAGTAATTGCATGTCTCATTGGCAATAGAGTATTGTGTATCATACACTCCTCAGCTGAGGAAGTGCAACTCAGTTACTCAGAATTATCATTCACATTTACAATTTAACTTTTGAAAAGATTATTTGACGCAGCATACAAACTCTTGAATCACCTATACATATAATATGCTTGAAGTACACATGAGTTTATGCATATATAAACAAAACGGGAGAAATTCGACGGTAAAAAGTATGTAATTTTTGTTGAAAAAAACAATTTCACCAAATTAAAGATTGAACAAACCTCAACAACCTCAATATATTTAAGGAAAATATATTAAAAGCTCAAATTAAATAGCAGAAAAATACCTTATGTAAACTACTTGTTCAAGTTGGTAACATCACCCATATAGCTATATCTTCCAATGGTCAAAATATAAGCTTTTTTTGGATCACATGTAATAAAAATTATACACCGATGTATAGTAAAGATAATTTGAATTGAATAATACACCGACGTTTAGTAAAGGATAATTTGAATTGAAATATATGAATTTTTGAGATCTCCCACTAACAACTATACCAGGATGGATTCTATCAAATCTTGAATGAAGGGTAGATGAACTAATTAGAATAAACGTCAACTAGTGTGATTGTCAAAAATTATACTGGCACAAAATTAGAACACAAATAAAGAATAATAACATAATACATAACTTGAATAAAAAGTAAGCAAATAAACAAAGCAATCAATGGAGAGGAGATAAAATCAGAAAAGTTAACTCAATTACTCCAGGTAAAATTGACCAGCGAGTTCATCATAATAAGAAAACTTACATTAGCAAGAGAGTCAGGTAATCCTCAAGATTAACGAACGGTAGCCTCCTGAAAGCAGAAATGGATACCTTTGAGCTAAAGATTTTTTGTACTTTTTTTTTGTTATTAGAAGAAAAGGGTTTAAAAAGAGGAAATATGGGATAGGTGGCGAAAATGAAGAAGGAGAAAACATTAAAATGAAGTGATAAAATAATACATGTCAGATCACTTTGAGCGTAAATCCATATTGCATTAAATTATCAAGTGTCCAAACTGCCTTCAGATATAATATTAAGGACAAAATATTGTCATGTTGATACCTCACATTTCTAATATAATTATATATATCAATATTGCATATAGTTTCTTTTGAACAACCTGTAAGGCCTTTAAATTTTTGGTAATAAACTATGAAGATTATTATACCAAATCAAAGTAGTACAAATTAAGGAGCATCTAGCCTTTAGTTTAAATTGGACTTTTAACATTTGCATCTAAATTTTTGGTGTTTATTTTAAAAAGGATAAGAAAAAACTTTTTCAAAGTGTTTTTAGAAGAAATCAAATATCGAGTTTGAAGAATAAGGAAGAGAGGCAATGTTTCCTTGTAAAAAATGCTTATATGTTCATTGTAACAGTGTGTTATTACAATTTAGGTTGAGCCATCGTCGCCGCCTTTTTCATGATCACAATGATTGCTGGCCAATCTCAATCAAAGGTAGGTCAACAAACTTTTTTCAGTTTATTCAAGCAGACATCATGGGAAACGAGACATGTTCCTTTAAAATCAATTTCGTATTTACATGGAGAACCACGAATCATATGGGAGCAAGTAGAGGTAGAATAGATGATAGTCAATGAGAATCTACAATATGCAGTGATATGGAAGTTCTCCTATGGTTAACCCGACATACAAGAACTTTGCAAAATAATACCCAAGCAATATGGATTGAAGGGTGAGTGCAATATTGGTTTACTAACCAACAAATGTGTTAATCAGGGAGACAATTTTTGAAGATTATGTTAATATGCTTTCTAAACATGTTTTCTACATAACTCATAAAAATTGGTTTTATACGATGAGGACCCTAAAGTGGGATCCATTATTTCACCCAGAAGAGGACCCATCAACGACGATAACATGGATTTTCTTTCCTTCACTGCCCCAAAATTTCTTTGGAAAAGAAATTGTATTCACATTAGTTGCAATAGTTGGAAAACAACTGCAGGTGGATATGGCGATTAAAAATCAGACTCGACTTAATTGTGCAAGGATTAAGGTGGAGGTGGATCTGCTCAAGAAATTTTCAAAGCGAATCAACATTGGGTTGAAAAAGATCCAATGGCGAGATTGTAGAGAAATGGGTTAAGATAAAGTATGACTTTATGCCAAAATACTATAAAACATGCATGATACAGGGTCATGATGAAGAAAAGTGCTATGTTGAACAACCAGGACTACACCCAATCAAGCAAAATGCAAGCAAAGAGATCAGTGAGATGCAAAGGCATGGAAAAGGGGAGAGGGAGGAGAATACTGAAATAATGAAAAACACCAAAGGAAGAGAAGGTCAACATAAGGGATGGGGCAGAGAAAATAAATAAGAGAGATATAAGGGGGGGAAGGCCAAGCAAGAAGGTGATAAATCAAGTATGGAACAAGGTGAGAGTTAAAACCACAAACAAGTTTGATGCATTGAATGATAAGGATGATATTGATATGTTAGAAAAAGGGACATTGGGGAACAGTGAGAGTAGACATGCTTCTACCAAGCAATGGGTTGAAGACACATTCTCAAAGCCAAACAGAGTGGTACCTGAAGAGAAGGATATTAACGGATAGGGAGAGAAAAATTCAGTTGGATAAAGAAATGGAATTGAGAAAAATATTAACGATATAGAAAGCCAAGAGGTAGGTGGTGACGAAAAGGAAAAAATGCTAACATACACCTACTGAATGATGAGGATGAAGCAGTACATAATCCTACGTGCCTGAAATAGTTCCTTTATAGTTAATTACATCCTTAAAAGAGATACCGGAGAATCAAATGCAGAAGCTTGATGAGGATGAGAAAATGGAAGAAAATATCCAGCAAATTAGCAGGGCCGGGAACTTATAACCCAGGCATGTTAACAATCTGAAGAGGGATTTCAAGAAAGGGAAATCAATTGTACCTCTACAGCTCAAATCAAGGAGTAAGAAGGATTGGAATCTAGAGCTTGATAAATGATTGATAAAATAATATTCTAGAATATAAGGTCAGTTAACATTTAGAAGTCTTTTGGGTGATTGATTGATCTTAAGAGATGGATTCATTATTAATACATAGCAATCATGGAACTATTTAGGAATCCAAATAAGCTAGAACACTATAGAAGAAAGTTGGGGTATACAAATGCCTTAATTAGCAGCTCTGGAAAATATGAATGTTTTGGGATGATGAATATGAAGGACAAATAATATCATATATGGATTAACAACTGCTGTAAGATTAACCCAATAAAATACTCGTAAACTATTTTCGGTAGTGTATGCTAAATGCATAATGAAGATCAGATTGACCTATGGAAGGATTCAGAACACAACCGGAGGTTCAAATATTCCATGGATAATGGGAGGAGACTATAATGTGATTATCAGGGGGAAGAAAAGATAGGAGGTTTAGCATTTACCCAAGTTAAAGCAGCAGACTTTGCGAAATATGTAGATAATTGTGCACTGTCGGAGATTAAATTTATAAAGATTTGTTCAAATTGTGGAATGGAAGAGTACATGAAAAATGAATTTTCAAGAGGCTATATAGGGTCCTAGTGAATCATCCTGGATCTTTACCCTACTAGTGAAATTCAGCATTTGGTGGGACAAGGTTTCAATCATACACCATTACATTTGATATGTAATACCACTGAGGAATCACGTAATAGGCTTTTCAGTTTTCTATACTTCTGTACGAAACATAAAAGTTTTGTAGAGGTGGTTAGGCAGCATTGGAGAACAAATAGACAAAGGAGTTCTTTTTTGATATTTAATGATAAGTTAAAAGAATACTAAGAACGTCTTAGCTAAATCGAGTAAAGACACTTAATATAGCCACACTAGAAGATTTGATTAAGGTCAAAGAGTTATAGCTAGAACTTCAACCAACCTCATATATTAGAAGTGAGCTGAGTAAGGCAGAAGTAGAGTTGAAGAAATTTTTGGTTTTTGAAGAGGAATATTGGAGACAAAAAGCAGGCATGAGCTGGTTTAAGGAAGGGGGATAGAAACACAAATTCTTCCATTCGTATGTAAAGGGAAGAAAAAAGAAGTTGGGCCTGGATGGTATTAAATATATTAGAGGGCATTAAGTCACTGACAACATTCAAATGGGTGAGGCAACGATTTAATATTTTAAACGACAATTCTTAGAAGAGGGAAGCAATCAGAAGGTTGACATGCATCACATTACCCCAATACTAATAAAAGATGGATATAATGTTGCAATGATTGAGCTTCAAAGTTTTGAGAACGTTAAAAATGTAGTCTTTGCCTTAAATGGAGATAGCGTGAGTGGCCCAGATGGTTTCACGCTTTAATATGTGGACAGGAGATACCCAAATTCATTACACACACCAACTTTGTTTTGATTCCAAAAAAAGTTCGTACAAGAATTTAAATATTTATGACCCATAAGTCTGAGCAGTTTCTCAAATAGGGTGATATCAAGGATATTACATGAAAGGATAGTTAGAGTGCTTCCAAATATCATATCTCCTAATTGGTCTAGATTTGTAAAAGGGAGAAGCATAACGGAGAATGTGTTGTTGGTATAGAAGATTATACGGGATATACACCTAAGAAGTAAAGAGGTTAATGTAGTAGTAAAGTTGGATATGTTTAAGGCATCTGACAGAGTGTCAGATTTTCTTAACAAAAGTGCTTAGAAAATTTGGGTTTTCAGAGATGTTAATAGATATGTCTGGAGGTTGATTTTGGCTAATTGGTACTCGGTAAGAATTAGTGGACAGACTCACAGCTTTTTCAACTCAATTAAGGTCTAACGCAAGGGGATCCACTGTCATAAACTTTATTTATTATAGCAGCTGAAGTGTTATCTACAAATATGAATCAACTTCATGCAAGAGTCTTTTAAGGGATTTGGTATGCCAAAGTGGAGCCCTAAAATAAATCATCTAGCATATGAAGATGACACAATTTTGTTTAGATTAGGATACAGACACTCAGTTTAAATGATGGTGAAGGTTTTGAAGGATTAAAAAACAGTTCCGGAACAAAAGGTCAATAATGAGGAGAGTTTTTCTACTTACATGAAAAGACCCCTTTAATTGTTACAATAAGATGAGGAAGTTGATCGGGATTAGGATTGGCAATTCCCTTTCACATACCTAGGTTGTCCTATTTACTATGGAGGAAAAAGAAAGGGTCAATTGTGTCTCCACCAAAAACGGTTATAGAACAAATTCAACAACTCTTTGCTAAATTCTTTTGGGGGAATACAGAGGTGAAAGGTAAACATTGGGTTACATGGACTTATATGTGTTATCCACAGAGGGAAGGAGGGGTTGGGTTTCTTATCACTCTTTGATATATCTAATGCTCTTTTTTGCTAAATTACGATGGATGTTTAGAACTCAGACATTTTTACGGAGCATACTTATGTGGAACAAGTATTGTAAAAAACATCAACCCAGTGACGCATAACAGAGGTGCATCTCAAGTATGTAGAAAAATGATAAGAGTCTAGGAAGATATGGAGCATGAAATTTGATGGTTGCAGAAGGAAGAGAATGCTAGTTTCTGGGTGGATAATTTGACAAAATAAGGCACTTTTTCTTATATAAAAACACAAAGAGTAGAGGAAGAAGTGGAGGTCAAAGAGCTGATTCAGAATGGGTAATGGGACATAGCAACACTACAACAATTATTGTCTCAAGATATGGTAGAATGCATTCTGGATAGTATCAGTCCTAAATTGAGTGTGGAAGGCCTGGTGGATGGGTAATTCACATGGAGAAGTTATTGTGAGATCACCGTTCCATGTAACAAGACAGAAAAGGGAAAAATTTGAATGGATGAATAATATTTGGATTGGGAGATTACCATTTAAAATCTCTTTCTTTTTTTGGAGAGTATGGAGACAGAGAATCCCCACCGATGATGTTCTTAAAAGGATAAGGGTACATGTGGTATCGAAATGTTATTGTTGAAATACGACACCTATTTCTAAAGTCTCTCATAACCCAAAAGCTATGGAAGCATTTTTTTCCATATGCATATAGTAGCATTGATGTAGATCACTTACAACAATTGATTACTATGTGGTGGGATTGACCAGGACAGCACAAGGTTAAACTAATTTTTAAAGCCATACCAACAATTGTTATTTGGGAGCTGTGGAAAAGAAGGAATGCTAGAAGGCATGGAAAAAAAGTCACATATGTGAGGTTATTAGGGCAATGTCTACAAATTCTTCAATGGTTAATTAGAATAAGGTGGATAAGGGGAAGGATTCAGAATTGGAGGGAGACTTTCACCACGCTAAGTTCATATAAAGCTACACAATATTATAGAATAGTGTATTGGGAGAAATTAGAACAGGAATGAGTGAAATGCAATAGATATGGTGCATGTAAAGGAAATTCTAGACAAAGTTCTTCTAGATTTAGCATACGAGATAGCAGGGGAGATTTAATATATGCGGAGGCACATGAGATAAGGGAAGCCACCAATATAGAAGCTGAAATAAAAGCAATGCAATGTTGCAAAACACAAAACTTTCAGAAGATAATTCTGGAGACAAACTCATTAGTACTTACAAACATGTTTTTAAGACTTTGAGGATTCCTTGGTTACATGTTGAAAATATAGAGAATATAAAGCAAAGCATAGCTAGGAAGAAAATTAAGGTAAAGCATATATTTCGGGAAGTTAATCAATTAGCAGATTATCTAGCAAACATGGCCTTAAATCAAGCCGAACAGATACAAGTAAATAACTTTTATGATCTACCAAGCATTGGAAGAAGAATTCTCAACATAGAAAAATAAAATATTCCATCATTAAGAATTAAAGCAAGGAGAATCAAACCACCATGCTAAGCGAGAATATCTACAAACCAAACACAGATATAATATTAACAGGTTTTGTCTTCAAAGAAAGGATCTACCTATGTTAAAACCTAATTGCCTAAAGGTTATTTCAGCTTACAAAAAAGATCAGCACAAAGGGGGGAATTCAATGGAGCACATACTTGATTCGGCAGTCCTTTAGAAAGAGATTCATGGTTCAATACCAACAAAAAGCTCCACAAAATTCCAAACGCCTCTATCGGGATGCACATCTACAAGAAGAGGAAAGTTAACAAGGGAACTACCTGGGAGAAGCACAGAAAATAAAGTGAATACCTTTGTGAGCTGTTAAATCGCTTCACAATCCATGGATGCAGAATACTGATGACCTAGAGGTGGAGAAAAATCAAAAACAAAGAAAAAGGAACAAGAGATATGGAGGTACAGTAGAGGAGAATGGAAATGGAGGCAGAGGATATAGAGCAACGAAAGTGGAGAACTTTCCTATTTTGGGCCTTCTTCATCTTTGCTTATTTGGGCTTGATGTAAGGATTTTTCATCATATGAAATAAATGGACCCCTAGTCCAAAAAATCATTTTATTAAGAAGCAGTGTAGCGAAAGTTGACATATATATACATTTGATAGTTATAATTAGCAATAAATAGTTTAACATTAATTAGCATTTAATAGACAAATAAAAAATAGGTACAAAATAACCCAAATTAATAAATGAAATTTTAATAGCTTTTTTTTTGTTTTCCTTGTATAACCAATATCACTAAACAATAAAAAATAATGGAAACATACAAAATTATACATACAATACGTACCGCCTAAAAACCTAAATTACGTATTTTTATATATTTTTTGGTTCATTATTTGATAATAATAAATTCGATTGTATACTTGATGATTGTATATAGGTAGAAAATGGTGTATTCATTCACTTAGTATTGGTATGCATTTATAGCTATGTTATCCCTTTATGTATTCATTCACTTATAATATGTATACACTACATTTAAAAAAATAATTTAATCATTTACATCATGTATGCATATTCGTGTATTCATTCTCTCGAAATTTGTATCATACTAGATTCTTTCTTCAGAAAAATGAGGATTGCACATGAAATATAAAATGCTCAATAGAAAACACATAAGTCTAATCGGATAACAATAAGAACTTACATGGCTATAGAATTTACAGTAAGCGATAAAGAATACACAAAATTAGAATCAGAATCTCCATTTTTATGAATAATAATCCTAGGATAACTTACTTAAACATGACAATCGATACATACAATTATTAAAAACTATTACGTAATTTTTTTTACCTAAATTAGATATAACCTTTCATTTCAAAGTTAAAACCCCCAAAAAATCAAATAACAATACAAAATGGGATCAAACATAGACTAACAATTACAAAAATTGACGGGTAAATATCAACAAACCATCAAGAATTTAAAAGCGAAAGATAAAAAATATACTATGACGAATGTTTTTATAGAATTCAATATGTAGAACTAATAATCGAGAAAGTAAATCATCTTTTGTTCAAAGTAATGAAGAAGATAATCAATAAATGAAAACATGATTCCAAAGAATTGTATATGGACGAAAAGAAGAGAAAAACCATGTCCCAAAAAAAAAAGGACATCATGTTGTCATCTCTTAAAATTATTAATTTAATTTTAAAAAAACTTCCAGTGGGTTACTAATTGCAAAATTTGATTTCTAAAAATCTTTTTGTCAAGAAAATAAAAGATGGTTGTATTTTGCCATTTAGTAAAATAAGATGTCTTCTTGTGCCATTTTTTCAAGAAAGTTTGTGAAAGGCCATAGTTGGTTAATTAAGTGATAATTGTGTCATTTTGAGTAATGTAATTTTGACCAATAGACATTTTGTCTAATATTTCCTTGGGCAAATTTTAGGTATAGCAAATATAAATTAAGAATTTTGTGTGCTTGCAAAGTTTTTAAAATTGCATTCCGTAGTAAAATTGTAATTTGCTACGGATGTGTTTTTTGTATAATCTATACATATTAATTGTTTAAATTAAAAAGGGTTGTAATTTCGGTTGGATGAAAAAGGAAAAAAATCCCAGCAATCACGTGAATTTGTTTCAGTATAATTTCATTCCTTCTTCGTCTCCTTCAATCGAAAAAACTCCATTGCAGTCCGTTCAAAAAATTGATCAAGCTATTGAAACTGCCAGTTTATACGAATTATATAAGTATATGAAATGTTGAATGCTTATATGAATCTTTCAGTTATATAAATATACCTATAAAGTGTTTTTTGGTGAATTGTATAAGTGTATGAAATTGTTGTATGTTTATACGAATTTATCAGTTATATATATATACCTATTTAGCATTTTTTTCATGAATTATATATTTGTATAAAACTTTAATTTGTGTATATAAAGGCTGAAATTGTTGTATAAGTGTATGAAATTGTTGTATGTTTATACGAATTTGTCAGTTCTATACATATACCTATTTAGTTATACATATGCCTAAGATAAATTATACATTTATACAACCACAATTGTATAAGCAAACAATATAAGTGATGAATCAACATAAACACAAAAACAGATACTAAGATAGACTATACATTTATAAAACCACAATTGTATAAAACATGAATCAACACAAACACAAAAATAGATACTAAGATATATTATACATTTATACAACCACAAATTGTATCAACAGGTAGTAAAATACATGAATCAACAATAAAATATAAATATAATATAAAATTGAAACATATAGGGAATGATTATACAGATACCTTATGATGCTCGAATAACCCATTACCAACAACTTCATTTTATCATTATGTACTATATAAATGTCAGTTTTAACTTTTATTTTCTTACTCGACCCAGCAACAACATCGACATGATCTTTCAGATCTCCACCCACAAATCTAGTTGGGTCATTCCTCAATTTGGATCTGATCCCTTGCATGGTATTCGATTTAGGCATTAAACCTGAAATCTCCCCATAATTCTGAGTTATACCCAAGAAAAACGGTGGGTGTTCAACATTATTTTCAACACGCAATGCTATACCTCTTGTGAATCTCTTCGATGGAGATTAGACATCCATTGTTTGAACCAAAAAATATGAATGAATTATCAAGTGGAGTGAAAAAGTAGTTTGAGAAAATTAAAACAATTAACAAAAAATTGATAAAATGAGATAGAGTTTTTTGAGGTACATGAAATTTTTGAAGTAGTTTTGAAGATAACGAGGACGTGTTAAAGAAGTTTGAAATTTGAAATTTGAAATTGAATTTGTGGAGAATATTTGGGAGAAATTGAAGGAAAGGAGAAGAGATTGTATACTATAAAGGGAAAGAGAAAACTTCTGGGTTTTTTTTTTAGATATTTTATATAATTCAGTGGGGTCCTATAATAGCAAAGTGATCGATTTTTTGCTCATTAAAGGGAATACTGAAAGGAAAGTTACTGCATTTAATTACATTTATTAGTTTGTCATTATCTACAATTATCCCTATTTCCTTTTATATAACTACGTTTGGGCTAGGCCCAATTGCGTTTGTTTTTAGTCCATATCATTGCAATTTGGGGGAGCTTTCAAAAATATACGTTCAAACTTGATTAGATATTTATAGTTGTAGCTTACTTTTTGAGAAAATTTAAAAAGTAGTAAAGATAATAAACATAATAAGGCTCTATAATAATAGTTTTTGTAATTTCACTCTATAGTTATAGTTTCATTTGCTATCGAGGTTATATTTTGTATATTTCACTTGCAAATAAACAAACAGAGTAAGTATATATAAATGGAGGTTGCGGTTTGTATATTTATTTTGCTTGCCCTTTTGTATATTTTGCTAAGGGAATATACAAATAGGGTAAGTATGCAACTTCGATATTTATACATTAAGAAATTTTCAAAACTCTATTTGAATATTTTGGTTACCAATATACAAACAGAGTAATTTATTGTAAAATTTTCAACAAATTTTATGAGGATATCTAAGACTGGAGGCGGTATCGGAACCGGGTGAACCAGGCCGGTAAGTTTCTGAACCGGGATGGAACCGATACTGTGCAAACCGATACCATTCCAGAACCGGGACCGGACTGAACCGGTAAATTTAACATATTTCGTCCCGATCCGAAAGGGAACCAGTAGTATACCAGACCAATATTAAATTAAAAAAATAATTTAAATTATTTAAAACTTAAAGATTTGATTTTTTTATTTGAATATAATTTTTACTATAATAATTAAAAAATTAAAAATTTAAATTTTCAAACTTTAAAGCTATAAAATTTAAATTTTAAACTCTTAAAGTTTGAAATTTTTAAATTCAAAATTTAAAGTTAAAATTTAAATTTTTCAAACTTTTAAAGTTTGAAATTTAAATTTTATAAACTTTAATGTTTGGAAATTTTAAATTCAAACTTTCAAGTTATAAAATATAAATTTCAAACTTTTAAAGTTTGAAATTTTTAAATTCAAACTTTCAAAATTTGAAAATTTTAAATTCAAATTTTAAAGTTATAAAATTTAAATTTCAAAAGTTTAAAATGTATAAATTCAAACTTTAAAGCTATAAAATTAAAAATTGACAATATGAAAAATTAAATTTAATACAACAATATTAAAAAATAAATTAAGGCGAATATCCTATATTTTTATTAATACTTATTTGATATTACAATTACATAACAAAAATATTAATAGAGTATTAAAAGATTTAACTACACAACCACCTTCTAGGAAAGGTTTTGTTTGAATTAATTCTCGAATTATCATACTCTTACTAATAGTTGGTACCACCATATAAATTCCTTCGTAAATTATTCAACATTTCTTTATTAACATGTTCGGGAATTGGTTGAATAGAAAGATCTTCCATTGCTTCAATCCCGTCGTCACTATAGTCCTGCATTACTTCATCAACGTCATCTTGAAATTTGGTCGATAGTGGTTCACGACCCAAATTTCTTCTCTCGGCATTAATCCAATCTCGAAATAATACCGATATCTCTAAGTTGTCGGCTGCTAGTGAATGTCTATGTTCTCCAAGTTGAAACCTTGTTGCACTAAAGACGCCTTACGAAGCTACTGGCGACGCTTGCATAACTAATATATCTCAAGCCATCGGTTGTAGTTTTGAAAATCTTTTGCCGCGATTTCTCCACCATGCTAGAATATCTTCAGTAGGTTTTGTATTTTGATTAACATAGGCATCAAAAACATTTCTATTATCGTGAGAAAGTACAAGATAATCATATAAATAAGCATCAATATTATCTTTATCAAATCTACTCATACAATTTTCTAGCTTCAGTTTTTATGTTATCTTTAACTTGTTGACAACTAGGAATTTCTTCTAATACATCATTAATATCTAAGTTAAAATACATTTTTTTCAACCATTTTTGATACACCTACATCTTTATATTGAGGGTTTAACAAACGCGTGGTTAAATAAATTTGAGGAATAGGAATATAAAATTTTTTTAAATTTTAGAATCAGTTTTTTAATGGTTTGTTGAAATCTTGATTTATTTTTAAATTGATATTT